AACAACAATAATTGTAATGAACATTTACAGAGATTTTGCTACTTTATATGCAAATGAATACATTTGGACCCTTATTGCTAACGATCCTAACATTAATCTAATGAATCAATAATCCAAATATAAGAATTAAAATATTAAGAATTAAAGCCATAAAACCCTCAGAAGAAAATACTGAGGTAAACCATCAAGATTTATTTTTTGAGCAATAAAGATAAAATGAAGAAAGTGGGCTTCGCTGAAATGAAGCTGTTTTGTGCATTAAAAAACTTTACCAACAAAGTAAAGAAACACCCCACAGAATGCGAAGAAATACTTGATAAGCATAGACTGTCTATGGTTTTAATCCAGAAATCAGATAGCATTCCTATAGTCCAAGAATAAAAAGACATAGACCTTAATTAACAGCTGGGCAATGGGCTTCAATAAACATTGTTCCAAAGAAAATTTAGATCAATAGCCAGTAAACCTATACAAAAGTGCTCAGGATGGTCAGGTGGTCAGCCATTAGAGAAATGCAAAGCCAAACCACAATGAGATACCATTTCCATCCACTGTTACTATCAGCTGCTGAACTGACCTCTGATTCATAATGACGCCATGCACCATGACTGCACACCACCTGGCCCTGCACGTCTGCACGAAGGCTGTGGCTCGTACTGCTTGGGACCTTAGGGTTTTCAATGGCTATTGGGAAACACAATTCCAGGCCTGCCTTCCTGTCTGCCTTCATCTGGAGCACTACTGATACCTGTTCAACTCTACTGAAAGCCAAGTCATGGCTGCATGAGAGTCTTCAACAGGAAAGGCAAGAACTCCACCACTGAAATATCACTGCCCACCATCACACCCGTTAGGATGGTTGTTACGGGAAAGAGGGGAAAAGACAAGGGCTGGTAAGGATGTGGAGCAGCTGGAACACTTATCCATTGAGCGTTGTTGTCGTTGTTATGTGCCGCTGAGTCATCTGCAACTCCTAGTGACTCTATGTACAACAGCTCTGAAGCCTGCCCTGTCCTGAGCCACTCTCACTCACTCCGACACACCTACCTCCACTGCCCCAGTTACTCTGCCAATCCGTCTTCTCTGGGGTCTTCCTCTTCTGTGCCGTCCATCCCTCTACCCTTCCGAGCATGATGTTCTTCTCCAAGGATGGTCCCTCCTCCTGGCCATGTGCCCAAAGTATGAGACATAGCTTCAAAATCCTAGCCTCCACGGAGAAATTTGGTTTCACCCTCTCCAAGACAGACCTATTTGTTTTCTTGGCTGTCCACGGTATGTTCATGACTATTCTCCAGCACCACAACTCGAAGGTAGCGATTCTTTTTCTGTCATCCTTAGTCACTGTCCTGCTCTCTGACGCACGGTAACTAGCTGTTGAAGATCAGGACAGGATCATCCACACCTTAGTCTCTAGAGTGACAACGTTGCTTCTCAGTATGCTAACTGGAGTTAGAGGTCCCTAACTGCAGATTTTCCCAGTGCAATTTGTCTTTTGATTTCATGGCTGCTGGTGCCAAGAGTGTTGACTTTCGATCCGAGCAAGCTGTAATTGTTAACAATCTCCACCTCTTCTCCATTATGGTGCTGCCAGTTCACCCAGTATAAGAATGCAGCCATGGTGGAAAGCAGTGGTTTTTAAAAAAGCCAAACACAGAATCATCACATGACTCCACAATTTAAGTACGAGGTATGGAAGGCCCTTGGATTTAAAAGTCGGCTGGAGACTGGGGGGAAACAGATGACCTTTGTAAGGTGGGCACGCTTGTTTTGGTGAGGGTCTATGGGCATGTTTGACTGGGATTGACTGTGGAATGAATGGCCTCATGGAAGGCCCTTGGATTTAAAACGTCAGTTGTTCTATTTTGTGGGAACATTCTTCTAAGGCATATAGCACTCACATCTAAAAGGTTAATGACTTAAGTTGTCTGGTGGCCTAGTGGCAAGAAGCTGTGCTGTAATCCCAAAGGCTTGCAGTTTGAGTCTACCAGGTGCTGTATGGAAGATTAATCTCCTTCTGTGAGATTAACTGCTTCTTAAAACTTGCTGGGGGCTCAAATATGGGCTGGTTCAACTCCCAACAACTTCAATGATTATAGAAAGATACTATTTCCATGCCCTTAATTTGCCATACCGAGGTAATCTGGGTTTGTTGTGACACTGAACCTTGTGACACTGGGGTGTCAAATGTCATAACAGTTGCCCATGGTGGACAGTGTTTACTGGAACTCCCAGTTTAAGCCAGGTTTGGAAGCAGGAGTGGTATCCACTTCCTAAACCATATGCCTCTGGAAACTCTATGAACTTGGAGAAACAACGATAGCTACAGAAAGGCTTCAAGTCTTTTGCTCATAGTGTTGCTATGAGTTGTGCTTGACTCAATAGCAATCAATAACAACATCTTGACCCAAAAGCATTGAACAGAGGGACTCAAACAGATACTAGAACTTCAATGTTCACTGCAGCACTATTCACCATCCCAACTGACGGACACCCCCAAGTAGCCATCAAGAGATAAATGGGTATATAAAATATAGTATGTATCCATACATGGAATATTATCCAGTCACAAAGAGTAAGGAAATTGCAATACACTCTATAATAAGGATTAAGCGTGCAAGTACTAATGCTACGTAAAATATACAAAAAGGAAGACAAATACTGTGAATCTTCTTGTATGAACTAACCAGAAAAGGCAAACAATAATGACAAATGTTCATTACTGATTACCAGGGGGGCCGCTCAAGTCAACGACAAGCTATTTCTTGGGAGGTAATAGTTTTTGTTTAAGGGGATGAAAAACATTTGAAAATGCACAGTGATGAAGGCAGCACAGAATGGAGAACACAACTGATATCACTCAAAGGTACATGCAGAAATGGTGAAAATAGAAACAAACAAGCAAAAATTTACTATAATAAAATGAGAGGGAGCCCATGCTTCTTAGGGGATTCTGGGTAAAGCGGTTAAGTGCTTGGCTCTCTCGGCAGTTCCAGTTCACTCTAGTGATGCCTTGTAAGAAAAGCCTGGTGATCTACTTGCAGCAAAATCAGACATGTGTTGAAACCCCTACAAGCTTCCCCTCTGTCAGAGTCAACTTGATGGTAATTTTTTTTTGCTTTTTAAACACCACAAACTTTTGAACTTTTTAAAAATTTTATTATTTTTTGGTGTGTGTACCATCAAATCGGATCTGACAGGTGCAGGAGGAGGTTGCCCCTCCTTCTGCAGCAGAGCATCTGGTGGATTCGAACCGCGCACCTCTGGGATTGCAGTGCAGCTTCTTGCTACTAGGCCACCAGAGCTCCCTTAACTTTTTTTTTTTTAAATTATTTTTTTGTGCATGTACCGTCAAATCTGATCTGACTGGTACAGGAGGAAATTGTCCCTCTGTCTCTGGCAGAGCATCTGGTGTATGCAAACTGTGTACCTTTGGGATTGCAGTATAGCTTCTTGCCACTAGGCCACCAGAGCGCCCCAACTTTTTGTTTTTTTTTTAAAGAGGCTCTTTATGCGATTAGGTATTATTGTCACGACAGGAGTCCAGAACGAAGGCTGCATAGTGGAGTGGACCTGGGGGAGGGATTGTACAACAATGGGGGAACTTTTCTTTTGCTTTTCAAAGAGAAGAGTGTACTGGGGTGGGAAGGGGCTGGGAGGGGAGAAAAGTGCCACAATGAATGAATGGAAATCCAAAGTCTCTGTAAATTTTCATTAAAATTAATAATAATAAAAAAAAGAGGCTATTGTGGCTTTGTGGTAAGGAATTGTACTGCCAACCAAAGGTATGTGGTTCGGTTCTACCAGGTGATCCAAAGATGGGCAGTCTTTTTTTTTTTTCTATATTTTATTAATTTTCATAAACATTTACAGAGATTTTGGGTTTCCATTCATTCCTTGTTGCACTAAGATGGGCAGTCTTTTACCGGGCGATTTACTGACTCTGAAAACCTGCTGGAGAGCCAGCTATGAGTCAGTTCTGATTTGATGGCACACAACAAACACAATATAGGGAAACTCTGGTGGCCAAGCAGGTAAGGAACTATGTTGCTAACCCAAAGGCACAAGGTTCGAATCCACTAGCCGCTCCGCAGAAGAAGGAAGGGCAATCTCCTCCCTTGCTGTTTATGGTCCCTGAAAACTAGGGGAGGTTTGCGATGAGTTGGTTCCATCTTAATGGCAAACAACAATAACAACAACAACAGATAATGATTTTGGCTAAAATCTGATAATGGGATTGGGGACGAGTGAAGTATACTAAGTCATATGCCCTTATGCTAAATTACTCTCAGAAGAGAGAGCTTTTATAGCTCCTGTATTTTTTTTTAAATAAAAATTTTTATTTTGTACTGGTTTACTTTCAAAGCTCATATACATGGTTTTTCACATCAGATCGTTCCCATTTCTTTTACCCACCCCTCTCTCCACCCATCCAATTGCATCTTTTAAAAAATAACAACTTTTTTTGTCCCTCAATTCCCATATAATTTAGTGGTAACTGCCCTTAAAGATCTCAGCACTTCTAGTTATTCACTCTCCCTTTTCCCTAGACTAACTTTCTGCCTAAAATACACTTGGCACTGAAAACAGAATTGGAAACACTTCAGAAGAGTGTTTAAATGAAAACTCAAGACACACTAAATCCAGACCCCAGCAGTTATGCTTACTTTAAGACTTTTTCCTGCTTCTTATCTATGTTTTATGTCAGTGTTTTTCAGATTATCTTCTTCAATTCTTAAGTTTTAGAAGGTGCTTTAATAAGAGCTGTATGTAGGCAGGAGGGAGGCGTGCCAGTGGGGAACTGAGATCCGTTTTTATTTAACGGAGTCTATGCAACGTTTCACCGAAGGATTTTGTTGCTAAAACAATTTTAAAAATCTAAACTTCAGATTGGTATAGTTTAACCAGCAGATCTTAGAGTTACTTTTTCTCTGTTATTTTTTTTTAAATACCCTTTGAAATGGAAAAATTAGAATCCATGTTCAAAAGGCAATGAACTCTACCTGAAGTAAAGGGACGAAATCCTCCTGTTCCAGGGTGTTGCAGTTGGGTTTTGCCAGGAGATAGATGAACTTGGAGGCATCATCATGATGGTCGTTCAGCAACCTACGAAGAAGAACACAGCGTCTTAGGGAAGACTGCCTATGCCGAACAAACAATGACTGCAGCTTCAACAGCTGGTGATTTCAGGCTGGACCTGAAGATCGAAGAGCTTCACAGATTAAGTCGTCTGGTGGCCTAGTGGCAAAAAGCTGTGCTGTAATCCTAACATGCCCGGAGTTCAAGTCCACCAGCTGCTCTGTAGGAGAAGGATGGCCAATCTCCTCCTGTGAGATTAACTGCTCCTGAAAACTGGTTGGGGTAGGGGGTCAACTATGGGCTGGTTCCAACTCCACGGTACACAACAATAATTTAATGGTTAAAGAAAGAGAATTTTTCCACGTCCTTGATTTTGCGAATGGGGCTTCTTAATAAAAGCTCAGTAGTGAGAGGGTACATTCTGTAGAATGCTTCTTGTGTGGAGAGCAGGATTAAATGAAGTACTGCCGGGTACATTTATGTGTTATCAAAATACATTTGAGTGCACACAGCTCTGGAGACAATGGGGTAACTGATGTGCTGTGCTTAGGCTTAGAGAGAGCAGAAGAAGTGAATTTGTCAAAACTTCTACTTATATATCATGGATGCTATATGATCTTTCAAAATAAAGCATCATCCCTAATATATATTATATATTATATATTAATTATATATTATATATTAAATATTATTTGTGGGACAATGTCCAGTCAGGTCCAGCACAAGATGTGTTTGGAACCAGAACCTGTGTCTTTTAAGTGAAATTTCAAAAGCTTTCTATAAGATTGACTGGAAATGTGTCAGTTAACGTAGGGAGGGGGAACCTCACCAGAGAGTCTATAAAGTAGGGAAGGAAAGTATTGTGGGTGGAAACCAGCATGTTCATGAGGCAGGACAGCCCGGGTGGAGGGACAAGTAGACACACACTGGTGACACTTATGACAAGAGCGTGGACTGCCGGACGGCTGGACAAGGGGGCAGAAGCAGATCCTGGAGGTCTTTTGACGTTAGTCAAGAAGCTTGGATTTTACAGTTGATGCCACAGTGAAATTTTAAACAGGACAGTGAGGTGACCTTATGGATTTTGAGACATCTCACTATGGTGTTCCTTTTTAAAAAAAATTAATTTTTTAAATTTTAGTTTTTATTGTATTATTTTTACGTGTACCGTCAAATCAGATCTGACTGGTACAGGAGGAGATTGCCCCCTCCTTCTCCAGCAAAGCATCTGGTGGATTTGAACCGCGTACCTCTGGGATTGTAGTGCAGCGTCTTGCCACTAGGCCACCAGAGCTCCTTCTAAAAATTAATTTTAATGAAAGTTTACAGAGACTTAGGGTTTCCATTCATTCATTGTTGCACTTTTCTCCCTGCCTACCCTTCCCCCCAATTCACTCCTCTTCTTGAAAAGTAAAATAAAAACTCTTTCATTTATGGTGTTACCTTTAAAGAATGGAGTGGCAGAGACAGGGTGGTGCTCAGGACACTGTGACACTTATTTAAGGCAGAAATGATGGGGCCTGAGCACGGATACTAATGGTGAAATGAACAGAAATGAAAGGCCTTGGTCCTTGTTGGGTTTGGGGGGTGAGAGGGAGAAGGGAAGTAGTAATCACTGCAAACTTTCTCTCTTGCCATTTTCACGCTGCTCCAGTATCTCAGAATACAGCCTGTCTTAGAATACATCATCTCTGCTTATATTATGCTCCCTATTCTGTAAGGAACAACTAATAATCCACTGCTTTCAAGAGGCTTTGCCTGACACGGAAACCCTTCATTGATCTTTGTACTGTTTAATTGATAGGATATTACATATACCAGTAAGTGGTCCTGTTGCTGTGTACTGCAGACTTGGAACCAACCCACAGCTGACCCTCCAGCCGGTTTTCAGAGGCAGTTAATTGCACGGGGGGAGACTGCCCATCCTTCTCCTGCTAAGTAGTCCTAGCGGCCTAAAGTTCAAGGTGCCTAACTCAAACCACAGCCTCTTCAATCCCTTGCTTTGCATCTGAGAGATGGACAATAAGTAATTATAATAGAACAAAGACTGACTCCTGTGAGATGTTGTGTTGGAGAAGAGCGCTGGGCTTCAACAAACACATATGCCTTGGAGAAAGTGCAAGCAGAGTGCTCCTTGGAAGCAAGGATGGCGACGTTTCTTCTCACTTACGTTGGGCATGTTGTTAGGAGGAGGTATTCTGTGGAAAAGGACATATGCTTGGAAGGGTGGAGGCACAGTGGAAGAGAGGAGGACCCCCTACGAGACAAACTGACGCACTGGCTGCAGCAATGAGATCGAGTGTATCAGAGATGATAAAGACGGAATAGGATTGACAGGATTCAGATCCGTTCTTCACAGGGTCGTTATGAGTTGTACTTGACTCGATGGTACCTAATAACAGCAACGAATCCACAGTGGCACCCTGGCTACATGCTTGGCTGGTAGCTTGGCTGGTGAGGGAGAGAGGTGACAGTACGTGTCAGCAAAGCTTACACTCGATGGGGCTGTGAGGTGCTGTTGTTGTGAGGTGTTGTTGCTGAGTATGACTCATAGTGACCTCATGAACAACCAGTCTGAACCCTGCCCTAGCCCGTGCCGTCCTCACCATCTCTGACACACTCAAGTCCATTGCCACAGTCACTGTGCCAACCCATCCGGTTGAGGGGCTTCCTTGCTCCCGCCTTCCCAAGCATGTCCCTCTCCAAGGAATAACCTCTCCTAGCAACCTGCCAGAGTATGTGAGACGAAGCTTCGTCATCTTTGCCTCCGATGGTCTGTATTTCATCTTTTTAACAGGGTTACTTCTCAGAACTCACTGTGGAAATCGGCTCATAGCCGACCCTCTGCTGGGTTACTGAGGCTGTAAATCACACGGGACAACTGCCTGTCTCTCTGTCATGAGGTCATTGGTGGCTGTGCATGGCCAGGGGCTCAGACTTTGGGTTAAGAAAGCCACGCTCGGCACACCACACCACCAGACTGTACACCATGCCACCAGACTGTGCACCACGCCACCAGACTGTGCACCACGTCATCAGACTGTGCGCCACACCATCAGACTGTACGCCACGCCAGCAGACTGTGCACCACGCCATCAGACTACACCACGCCAGCAGACTGTGCGTCACGCCAGCAGACTGTGCGCCACGCCAGCAGACTGTATGCCACTCCAGCAGACTGTGCACCATGCCAGCTGACTGTGCACCACGCCACCAGACTGTGCACCACGCCACCAGACTGCACCACGTCATCAGACTGTGCACGTCATCAGACTGTGTGCCACACCATCAGATTGTACACCACGCCAGCAGACTGTACACCACGCCACCAGACTGTACACCACGCCACCAGACTGTGCACCACGCCACCAGACTGTGCACCACACCAGCAGACTGTACACCACGTCACCAGACTGTACACCACGCCACCAGACTGTGCACCACGTCACCAGACTGTGCACCACACCATCAGACTGTGCACCACGTCATCAGACTGTGCGCTGCCACCCGACTGTGCACCACGCCAGCAGACTGTGCAGGGTCATGAGGAGGCAGAAAAGACTCAGCAGCGCCCGGTCACACCAGATGCCCTACGCCACTGGCCTCTAACAGGTGGCAGGTAGAGCTCTTTGTTCTTCTGAACACCGAGCCTCACGCTTCACAGAGAGAAGACTCTGACAAAAGGCTTGTGATCTAACAGATGTATGCTTACCTGCCTTCATTTGTGATTATTATAGCGAGAGTCAGGTCCTTTGTTGTTAGTCTCCTTACAATCTTTCAGGCTTCCGAGGTTTGAGTAAATACACATTTCAGAAAGAGATGAGCTCAAAAGGCAGGGATGTCACAGCTCTTTAGCCGCTAGGCCACCAGAGCTCCGTGTCGAAACATTAGTAGAAGAAAATAAATTATCCAAGGCTGTATTACTTGGAAGAATGTAAAAAAAAAAAAAAGGCAGGGATGGGAAGCCTCTCTCAGGATTAGAAAATGGGTGGGTTGATCCCAACAAAAAATAAGTACCTATTTTTTTAAATTTTTAAATATACAAATGCAACTTGTAAAAGAGAACAGAAGGGAGTGAGTAGCATTCCCAGAGCAAAAAGTCAAATGTGACTGTGTTTCTGCTCTCAGAAGCACGAACGGGAAAAAGAGCTGAAGGATGACTGTCAGCTAAAGCTCGTGGCCAGTGAATTCTATCTGGCGAAAGAAAAGGAAATTGTAAGAGAGATGAAAGTTAGAGAGAGAGAAAGCCAACACAGGTATTCTAAACTAGCACCTCCTAAGGAAAGGTTTGTTTAGTTAACAGAGAAATGACATGTTGACATGCAAAGGCAAAAGAAAGCAATGTCTAATAAAGCTGGGAAAATATTTGCAAGGAGCTCTGTAAATAAGCTGGTGTTCTAGGAACTACGCTAAGCTTCCGTAGTGCAGTGATTATTCCATTCACCTAACATGCGAAAAGTCCCAGGTTCAAAGCCAGGTGGAAACAGAATAACTCCTGTAGGAGCTCTGGTGGCCTAAGTGGCAAGAATCAGTGCCACAATCTCAAAGGCACCTGGTTCGAACCCATCAGCTGCTTATTCAGGAGAAAGATGGGCAATCTCCTCCTGTGTGATTAAGTGCCTCTGAAAACCCGCCAGAGGCTCAGCTATGCGTTGGCTCTGATTTGATGGCACACAACAACAACAGCAAATTCATGGAAATGTCAGTGCTCTTGATTCGGACTTTTACTCACATATGAACAAAGCTCCTTTGTTAGAGAGCTCTGGTGGCCTCGTGGTAAGAAGCTGTACTGCAATCCCAAAGACAAGCAGCTCAAATCTACCAGCTGCTCTGTGGGAGAAGGACGGGCAATCTCCTCCTGTGTGATTAGCTGCCTCTGAAAAGCCACTGGAGGGTCAGCTGTGGGTCATTTCTTACTTGGCACTACACAACAACTAAGAATTCAAATACAAAAAAGGCTGTGTAGCAGTGTTTTCCACCTAAAAATGACCCAAGTGTGAAAAAAAAGACCCCAAACAAACAACAAA